CCCCCCCTAGCTCCCCCCCCCCCCGTTCGTAACTAGGGGTCCGATTTAAGTCAGACTGACGTAACCTGGGTACTGCCTGTATATATTATTAGAACTAACAAGATGGTTTATTTATGCCCTTTCTGTTTTTAAATCAAGTGAATTATTTCAATGCGAATAGGATTAAAGGATGACAAGGTGACATGAGTGAAGGGGTAAATCTGTCCTGAAGCACTGGGAGGTGCTTGAAGGACAAGAAGCTTACTTGGAGTACTAGAGGAGAGATGATGCCAATGCAGAGGCAGCAGCATGAAAGGAACAATAGAATAGCAAACAGAGAAAGCAACGAAGAAATCAGTCAAGCATAAATTGTTGGCAAAGCACAGTACAAAACCCTCTTGTACGTTCACTAATAAGAATGATCGCTTAAGAAAAACACTGTGGTTCTTTGCAGTAGCAATGTAGATCCCACTGGTAGGTGCACATGCACAAAACTGATTTTTTTTTTAGCACCTCTGGTCAGGGCCATGCATGCCCCTTCCTTGTGCTCTCATTGAGGGTAGAAAAGGCAGAATGACAACCAAAGAATAGGAGAACTGGAAGTGACCTTGAGAGATCATCGAGTCCAGTCCCCTGTCCTCACATCAGGACCCAGTACCATCTAGACCATCCTTGATAGATGGCTAACCAACCTGCTCTTAAATATCTCCACAGATGGAGATTCCACAACCTCCCTAGGCAATTTATTCCAGTGTTTAACCACCCTGACAGTTAGGAAGTTTTCCCTAATGTCCAACTTAAACCTCCCTTGCTGCAATGAAGCTCCCTCCCTCAGTTCCCTCATAATTCAACGCACAGCTAGCTGAGGAATCTAAAGTATGAGGGAGGCCAAGTCACAGGATATGTACAGACTACATCTCAAAGAACCAGTTATTGTAGGGCAAAGTAACTATTCATTCTCCTCTGAGTATGTGTCAGGGATGTCAACGTGTAGTCGACTACACAATTAACCGATAAGCCTAATCTTATTGGTTAATCTTGTCAACTACATGCATTTCCCCCCTCCTTGCTGCCTCTATCAGCACCAGATCCATCTGCCCTCTCCACCCCCATGCTACTGTCTCTAATAGAGTGCAGAGAGTGAGGGGGGTAATTTGGAGCCCATACATGTCAGAAACCAGCTTTCAGTCCAGCCCCCTGCACGTATTGGCTCTATGGACCTACAGCTCTCACCACAGCTTGGGACAGGGGGCAGGAGCTGGTGCTGGGGGGAGCCAGCTGGGGTGCCACCTGCCCTGCCCCCCCTTGGGGGTTGCAGGGTGAGCAAGAGAGGCTGCCATGAAGCAGCCCCTCTCCGAGAAGGGTCAAAGCTCCCTGCAGACAGAGGCTGTTCCAGAGGCAACAGCGCAGGGCGACAGGCAGCTGGTCTGCAAGAGGAGCTGATTTTTAAACTGGCTCCCCTTGCGGGCTGGCTCTGGCTGCCACTGTGCTGCTGCCTCTGATATTTTGTGCGGTTGCACAACTATTCAGTTACACTATATTTAACATCCCTAGTGTGGACTAGGGTTGTGAAAATGTAACCATATACACAGTTAATAGATGAGCCTGGGCTCATATGTTAACCTTCATGGTTACACACAGGCTCCTAGTACACGCTGCTGCCTCTCTAGCAGAGGCAGCAGCTTGGGAGGCAGGTGGGAGCCAGAGTAAAAGCCAGCTCCCCGCATGCACCAGCTCCCAGGGAGCCGACTGCAGCCCAGCATGTAACCACTGAAATTTTCAGTTGTTATAGTTACTTAAATGCATTTTAACGTTCCTAGTGTGGAGCCCACTGTAAGATTGGCAAGTAGTATCCTCCCATGACAGCGAGAATGAATAATTGTTAAGCAGTCTTAGCAAACAGATTGAAATGTTGTTAGACTCATAGAATCACAGGGCTGGAAGAGACCTCAAAAGGTCATTGAGTCCAGCCCCCTGCCCAAAGCAGGACCAATCCTAACTAAATCATCTCAGCCAGAACTCTGTCAAGCTGAGAATTAAAAACTTCTAGGATGATGGAGATTCCACCACCTCCCTAGGTAACCCATTCCAGTACTTCACCACCCTCCTAGTGAAACAGTTTTTCCTAATATCCATCCTAGACCTCCCCGCCCCCGTAACTTGAGACCACTGCTCTTCCAAAACTTGACATGAACCTGACTGTCATGTGTGTCAGGTCTGTTCAATCAGCCCCTAGTGGCTCTGACCATGTTGCTGAGATTCTGTAAAGGCTTGAAACACTAAGTCTAAACAGAGTTGAAGCACCCCTCTGTCTTAGGGATCATAGGTACATTGTATAGGTGCAGAACCTCCAGCTAGCATCCCCTGAAAGTTTAGCCAATGCTGCCCATTGCCCAGTCCCAAGAATGGGTGCTAGCCCCTCAGGCTTTCCCGATAGATTAAATATATCACCCCCCAATAATGTCTGCTTCAAATCTGTGATACCACCACTGGTTAGATAAACATCTATCAGGGATGGTATTGTGCTTGGTCCTGCCGTGAGCGCAGGGGACTGGATTTGATGAGATCTCAAGGTCCCTTCCAGTTCTAGTATTCTAGGATTCACTGTCAGTAGAGCTCATTGCCAATTTCTCCATGGCAATCTTATCACTTGCTGCTCTGTGACATACAAAGAGGATTCTGACATGCATTTCCTCTGGTACCAATGAGACCTTCGTGCACTAGTCCAGAAGGCAAAGCTTCAGCCTCAATTCACAATTTGCAAGTCCTCACACTGAAGGATAAATATGCTGAGCAGCTGCTTGGAATACAGGATTCTCCTAGACAAGCCACTGACTGTGTCCATCCTTCATAGGAATCAGTCCATCACAGGATGGACATGATGAAGCCTGCAGGTTTTAACTTTCCCACTATAGATACCCTAGATCCCGGGATCTACTGGTAGATCTTGGAGCCTCTGACAGGTGATCCTTACTAGTTTGGCCAAGAGATCCTTACTAGTTTGGCCAGCATTTCAGCTGCCCCTACCCCCCATTGCTACTCATCTCCTGCCTTTTGCCTTGGAGTTGCCCCTCCCCCTGGGAGCCTCCTGCTTTCTGTGCAGGTCAGGGCAGGGGAGGGAGAGGAAAACGCTGATGTCAGGGTGCCCTCTCTCCCACTCTGTATCCTATCTCCACAGAGCAGAGAGGGAGCACAAGAGGGTTTGGGATGGAGTTTCCTGGATGTATTAGGGAGTGGTCCAGGGCCAGGACAGGGTCACCCTTAGCCCCACTGCACCACCACCCAGGAGCCACCAGCAGTGCCCAGCTGGATCCCACATCCTAAGCTACTATCCTAGTCATGAACCCCCTTGTGAAGCCCTTGTCCTTGCCCCGAACACCCCTGCATCCAAACGTCCTCCCAGAGCTTGCGTATAGAACCCCCTCCAACATCCCAACCCTCTGCCCCAAGAGCAGCACTTCAGATCCCTTAATCCAAGACCAGAGCCTGCACCCCAACCCTCCGCCCCAGCCTGATGAGAGTGAGGGAGGA